CTTTAATTATTAGAGATAGTTGGACGAGATAGTTGGACGGAGGCTCACAGAAATAAAATAAGTCATACAATACTTATTAAGAGAAAGTTAAACAAAACGGTGGCTGAAACTGAGACAAAAGACTAAAAACTAAATAAAACTATTGGGGATTAAAACCGAACAGTTAATAAAACAATGCAAAAAAGATAAAAACGAACTATATTTAATACTAAAATTGATTATAGTTAATAAAACACAAGTAAAATATAAACTAATGAAGATCAAACTGAACCAAACCGCCAATAAAACAGGTGAAAGACTTAAAAGTAAAGCAGAACTTATCGTGAGCAAAAGTAAAATAAAATGTAAGTAGTAAAACACGCAGGAACCTTTAAAGTGAAAGTGAACTTAAATGAACAAAAACAAAACTGAATATAAATAATAAAACACGGGAGGAGACTGAAAACTGAAACAGATCTTAAACGAAATAAAAAAATGACATGGAAGAGAACAGAAGACTACGACAAATGAAATAAAAGAACATAAAAAACTACGACGGTCCAGCAAGTTCTAAATAACTAAAGAGAAAGCAAAGGACATTTCAATAATCATAAGCAAATCCTTACGTCCTTTGGCCTTAAACAAACGCTACTTAACTTTAATAGTTCTAATTCATAATAAAAAAAAAAAAATCTGTAAATTCTTTAAAATGTTTTGGTTTGCAGGACCTTACAATATTCAAAAAAAAAAAAAAAAAAAAAAGATTAAATAAAAGCAGAAAAACTGAAGAAATCATATAAACGGCAAAACGAAACGAAAATAGAAAACGGGAGTAGATAAAATGCAAATCAAAAGGACACATAAGAACTATCCAACAAAACAAAAGAAATGACTAGTTTTCGTTTGTGTAAAATGGCAGCCACTAAAATATTTCAAAACAAAAGAAAAAAAAAATCCTTAAAACAATGTATCAAACAAACTTGAAATCTATAGGACGCTACCAATTATGGGCGTAACCTCCTAACCTTGAGCAGCACTTTAAATCACGTATTTATGACTGGTATAGCGATTACACTGTAACGAGTGTTGATATGGACATTACGAAAGTGGACATTATGGACGTTACGAAAGTGGTCACTGATTACTACAACATATTGTTACTAGCAAAAGGGAGTGAGGAAACAGATTGTTTGTTGCAAAGAGAGAGATCACCGATTGTTCCTTCCGAACGGTATAAGTGAGTGCAAGTAACAATCGGTAGCCTCAATCCCTTTTGCAAGGAACAAATCGGTGGCCTCAATCCCTTTTGCAAGGAACAAATCGGTGGCCTCAATCCCTTTTGCAAGGAACAAATCGGTGGCCTCAATCCCTTTTGCAAGGAACAAATCGGTGGCCTCAATCCCTTTTGCAAGGAACAAATCAGTGGCCTCAATGCCTTTTGCAAGGAACAAATCGGTGGCCTCAATCCCTTTTGCAAGGAACGATCGGCGACCTCAATCCCTGTTGCAAGGAACAAATCGGTGGCCTCAATCCTTTTGCAAGGAACAATCGGTGGCCTCAATCCTTTTGCAAGGAACAATCGGTGGCCTCAATCCTTTTGCAAGGAACAATCGGTGGCCTCAATCCTTTTGCAAGGAACAAATCGGTGGCCTCAATCCTTTTGCAAGGAACAATCGGTGGCCTCAATCCTTTTGCAAGGAACAAATCGGTGGCCTCAATCCTTTTGCAAGGAACAAATCGGTGGCCTCAATCCTTTTGCAAGGAACAATCGGTGGCCTCAATCCTTTTGCAAGGAACAATCGGTGGCCTCAATCCTTTTGCAAGGAACAAATCGGTGGCCTCAATCCCTTTTGCAAGGAACAAATCGGTGGCCTCAATCCCTTTTGCAAGGAACAAATCGGTGGCCTCAATCCCTTTTGCAAGGAACAAATCGTGGCCTCAATCCCTTTTGCAAGGAACAAATCGGTGGCCTCAATCCCTTTTGCAAGGAACAAATCGGTGGCCTCAATCCCTTTTGCAAGGAACAAATCGGTGGCCTCATCCCTTTTGCAAGGAACAATCGGTGGCCTCAATCCTTTTGCAAGGAACAAATCGGTGGCCTCAATCCTTTTGCAAGGAACAATCGGTGGCCTCAATCCCTTTTGCAAGGAACAATCGGTGGCCTCAATCCTTTTGCAAGGAACAATCGGTGGCCTCAATCCTTTTGCAAGGAACAAATCGGTGGCCTCAATCCTTTTGCAAGGAACAATCGGTGGCCTCAATCCTTTTGCAAGGAACAAATCGTGGCCTCAATCCCTTTTGCAAGGAACAAATCGTGGCCTCAATCCCTTTTGCAAGGAACAAATCGGTGGCCTCAATCCTTTTGCAAGGAACAATCGGTGGCCTCAATCCCTTTTGCAAGGAACAAATCGGTGGCCTCATCCCTTTTGCAAGGAACAATCGGTGGCCTCAATCCTTTTGCAAGGAACAATCGGTGGCCTCAATCCTTTTGCAAGGAACAATCGGTGGCCTCAATCCTTTTGCAAGGAACAAATCGGTGGCCTCAATCCCTTTTGCAAGTCTACAATCGGTGGCCTCATCCCTTTTGCAAGGAACATCGGTGCCTTAATCTCCCTTTGCAAGGCACAAATCGGTGGCCTCATCCTTTTGCAGAAAAAATCGGTGGCCTCAATCCCTTTTGCAAGGAACAAATCGGTGGCCTCAATCCCTTTTGCAAGGAACGATCGGCGACCTCAATCCCTGTTGCAAGGAACAAGTAAAATCTAGGCCCGTATATATGTATATATACAGTATGCAATATCACGTCGTCTCACACCAGGAGGCTTAAAACAATGCTGAATATCTCGCCTCCCCCCTCTCCCATAGGCTTACAATTATTACCATATATGGAAACTGACGCACTCGAGGTGGCAACACAATCACAGTTGTAGCCACGACGTGGCGTCGTTTTGCACTGTATATTCCTTAAAGGACCTGGGAGAGACTACTTTTCATTGCCAGGCGCTCTCTTGCATCTCCCTTCATACTGCAACATGAACTTCGGTCGCCTTCCCTTCGCCGAAGCCGAGGGCACGATCGTTTTATCCCACAAGTGAGGAGGATGCTCGAAAACAGTGTTGCCACGGACAGCTCCTATATAACATTATTTTGTTGCTTAATAAATTTATATTACATTTGCATTTTCTGACACCACTCTCTCTCCTTGTATAGGCAACCACGAGATGATTTTTACATTTTAAGAGTATTTATTACTTCACAGAAAGATTGAACAAACGGCATTGCCAAATCGCCTCCAGTTCGCCCAGCAGTATGTGAAGAGCACACGGGAAGCTCCATTGCTGGATGAGAGATAACAGGTGTAAATATCAAAATTTTGTTCAGTATGTTCAAAATGCCCTATAAGCCATATTTAATGTTCTAATTATCAGCATCTATATATTCATTATAGGCCTACTACGATTTTCCTTTCAGATAATGTTCTATAATGAAGAAAATGGTGTAGCATGTTTTCTGTTTACTTTATATGTTTAGTGACGAAAAGAAAAATAACTAGTCACTTCATTGGTTCGGTTAGACGCTACTAGATGGCGTAGCCACGGTCCACGAGAAGTATTTGCAAAGGTATCAACGATTTTGCAAAATATTTATTCCATTTAGTTGCCATATGTATATGTTTCATGGCGATTTCCGTTGCCCAGAAGGGTCCGTTTTCCGTTGACAAACCTGGAAATCATTTCCGATTAGTCATTTTTTTATCATTATTTTTTCATATTCCTTATTATCTTTTCTCTCGTTTTGAATGCTAATGCATCTGCTTTGTTGCTTTCTCAAAACTATATGCGTTTGTATTTTGATTTTCTTTATCATTTCCATTACCCCTTCTTAACTATTTAACGACGCGACTGCTTGTTTCCTTTAACTGCCTCCCAGACGGCGGAATGCGAACGCCAGCGCCCTCACTTCCCGCCAGCGTCTTGTTGTGTTTGTACTACCGTGCTTTTGTTGACAGTGTGACGTGGGTAAAACTTTCTATTTAGATATTGTTTTATTACCATTGTGTGTCTTTTATCATCATTGGTCATCCCAGTGTTATTGGTGATTTTCATTTCTGTAGGTAGGGGCAATTTTGGCTACATGAGGGCGACCAGGCCGGTCTCTTGCTGGATCCGTGCCCGTCGAACAAGCAAAGAGAGCTTTTCTTGCGACTGCAGAGAGGGACTTTCTATTTCCAAGCACGGCTATGACTGGGCAGCTCATCTGTACCCTCCGCACTGACGGTATGTGTGACATATTTTCTGTAACGTTGCTGTGTCACTTGGCACGAAGTACTGATTAAAGGGGGGTGGGGGTACATGGGTCTGTCCCCTCCGGGTAGGGAATGAATAGATGGTAGATAAGGTTAGGTTTGGAGTTTTAGGTTCGCCTGATACCACATTGTTTACTTACGTGTGACTAAAGTGTTTTATTATAATTGTATTAGAAACGGCGTTTCTGAAAATGGACTTAATGCGCATCTCTTTTTGCGCTTGTTCACTCGGGAGCTATTTTCGTCCGTCGGACAAAGGCTCGTGTTTTCGAAAATGTGAATTTTTAAGGTTTCATAAATCACTTGCATTGATTTCTGCAGGTTCCTATTGCCACCTCCCCCCTTCAACCCCCGGCCCCCATGCATCCCCCAAGATCGTTGTGTTGATGAAATAAAAAAAAAAAAAAAAAAAATCCTTTACTTAACGTCCCTCGGTAGCAAAAACCAAGCTCTCAAACCCAAACAAGTCCTCAATCAAAAGTAATTTTCTGATTGAAAATCGTCGTTTTTTTTTTTTTTTTTTAATAATAATAATAATTTGTTCCTCCTAATTTGTTCTGAATTTAAACATTTTTAGAAAACCAATGGGAATGGAAATTGAAACCTAACCTGAATGAATACCTATCCTTCAAAAAACGTGTATTTTAAATTAGTGTCCCCTTAATTTATTCAAGTTTTCTCTTTCAATTTTGAATAGGTCGTTGCGTTTTCCTCCACCTCGTCGTCGTCGTCGTCGTCGTCGTCGTCGTCGTCGTCGTCGTCGTCGTCGTCGTCGTCGTCGTCGTCGTCGTCGTCCTCGTCGTCGTCATTCCTCCTCCTCCTCCTCCTCCATCTCCTCCTCCGCAGCCGCCGCCGCCAGCGCCGCCGCCGCCGCAGCGCAGCCGCCGCCGCCGCCGCCGCCGGCCGCAGCCGCCGCCGCCGCCACGGCCGCCGCCGCGCCGCCAGGCGCGCCGCCGCCGCCGCCAGCGCCGCGCCGCCAGGCGCCTCCGCCGCGCCGCCAGCGCCGACGCCGCCGCCGCGCCGCCCCGGCCGCCGCGCCGTCCGCCGACCAGCCGCCGCCGCCGCGCAGCCAGCTCCGCGCGCCAGCGAAGCCCGTGCGCCCGCCGCATCGCCGCCGCCGCCTGCCGCCGCCGCCGCCGGCCGAAAGCCAGCCGCCGCCGCCGACCGCCGGCAAGCGCCGCCGCCCCCCCAGCCAGCGCCGCCGCCGCCGCCCGCCGCTCCATGCGCCGCCGCCGCCGCGCCGCCGCCGCCAGCTCCGCCGCCGCCTCACGCCGCCAGCGCGGCAGCGCGCCGCCGCCCAGCGCCGCAGCCGCCATCGCGGCCCGCGCCAGCGCGGCCGCCGCTCCAGCGCACGCAGCCCGCCCAGGCGCCGCCGCCAGGCCGCCGCGGCCGCCAGCGGCCGCGGCCGCCGCGTCCGACCTCCAGCGCCGGCAGCGCCACGCCGCCAGCGCCGGCAGCTCACAGATCTCCGCGGCCCGCCGCCGCCGCCGCCAGCGCGCCGCGTCCGCCGCCGCCGCCGCCAGAGCCGGCCCGGCGCCGGCGACGGCGGATCCGGCGGCGACGGCGGCGGCGCAGCCGCCGCCGCCGGCCGCATCCGCCGCCGCCGAAGCCGCACCGCCGACCAGCTCCGCCGCGCCTAGGGCCGGGCCGCGCCAGGGCCGCTGCCGCGCCGGACAGAGCACGCGGCCGCCACGCTCCAGCGCGCGGCCGCCGCCGCCGCCGCCAGCCCGGCAGGCCTAAACGCTCCGCGGCCTGCCGCAAGGCGCCGCTTCCGGCTCCGCGCCGCCAGCGCCCATGCTGCCGGCGGCCGCCGCCGCCGCCTCCAGCGACGGAGCCTCGCCGCCGCCGCCGCCGCGCCGCCGCCGCAGCCGCAGCCAGCGCGCCGCCGCCGCAGCGCCGCCGCCGCCAGCGGGCCGCCTCCGCCAGCGAGGCCTCGCCGCCAGCGGCAGCCTCCATGTCCTCTTCCTCTTCCTCCATCTCTCTTCCCCTCTTCATCCTCCATTCCTCCGCCTCCGCATCTCATCTCATCTCCGCCAGCTCCATCTCTCTCTTCTCCTCCTCCGCCTCCATCGCCTCCTCTCCTGCGCCTATTCCCCTCCTCATCTCTCGCCTTCTTAGTACGACAGGTAGTTGCGGTTTCGCCAGCACCCCACCACGTCACTGAGCTCTTCTGACTCTACACATGAGGTAGCACACACTCTGGACGAGTCGGAGCTACTGTCTCCTTCGCTACTTCCTCCTCCTCCTCCTCGCCGCCGCCGCCGCCGCGCCGCCGCCGCCAGGGCCGCGGCCGGACGCCAGGGGCCGCGGCCGCAGCCGCCAGCGCCGCGGCAGCCGACGCGCCTGACAGCGCCGCGGCAGGCGCGCCGCCAGCCGCCAGGCGCACGCGACGCAGAGGCGCGCGCCGCCGCCGCCGCGCAGCGAAGCATTCGCAGCCATGCGCCAGCGCCGGCATCGCAACAGCGCAGCGAGGCCGACCGGCGCCGCCAGGCGCCGAGGCCGCAGCCGCCGCCGAAGCCGCCTCAGCGCAGGCCGGCGCCAAGAGCCGGAGGAGCCGCCCGCGCCGCCGCCGCCGCGGCCGCCAGCCGCCAGAGCCGGCGCGGTGCGCCGGAGCAGGCGCGGAGGCGCCGGCGCCGGCGCGGAGCCGCACGCCGCGCCGCCGACGACGCCGCCGCCGCAGCCGCCGACGCCGGCGCGCGGCCACGCCGCGCAGCCAGGGCGGAGCCGCGCCAGGGCCGCGGCCGCCGCGCACAGCGCCGGCCGCCCGCCGCCGCCAGCGCCACCGCCGCCTGCCAGCGCCGGCAGCCCCAACGCCGCGGCCGCCGCCAGAGAAGGCGCGCCGCCGCCGCCGCCAGCGCCTGGAGCCGCCGCCAGCGCCGGGCCGCCGCGCCGGCGCCGCCGGCGACAGCGCCGCCGCCGCCGGCCGCGCCGCCGCCGCCGACGCGGACAGCGCAGTCCGCCGCCAGGGCGCGGCAGGGCGCCAGGGCGCTGCCGCCGAAGCCAGCGCCGCCGGCCTGCAGCGACACGAGCCACCGCCGCCCAGCGCCGGAGCCCCAAGCCGCGGCCGCGACAGTAGAAGGCGAAGAAGACAGCACAGCCTACTGCAGACGAAGCCAGGCGACGGCAAGAAGCCGAAGCACGCCTGATCCTGTCCGGAGCCTACGCCGACGAATGAGACGAAGCGCCGCCGCATCCGCTCCTCCTCCGCCATTCATAGTCGAGCTAATCCTCCTCCATGTCTCCAGTCTAGTGTTCTCATCCTCCCATCGCCTATGCTGAAGTATCCGAATACCGCCATATCCGATTCTATCTCCTCCTACTCAAGAGAGAGGCGAGCGAAGAAGACGACAGAGCAGAGGAGAGAGACGCAGACAGGGAAGAGCGAAGAGCAGAAGAAGAAGGAAGGCGAAGACAGAGAAGCGGAGCAAGAAGAAGACGGCGACTTCTCATTACCCCTCCCCCTCCCCCTCCTCCTCCATCTCCTATTCTATCTCCCATCTACTCCCTCCTCCTCCTCCGTCTCCTTCTCCACCTCCCCCTCCCCCTCCTCCTCCATCTACTCCCTCCTCCTCCTCCTCCTCCATCTCCATCTCCATATCCTTCTGCTGTCCTCCATCTCCATTTACTCCTCTTCCTCCAAACGCCCAGACGCTGCGCTCCCTCCTTGAGCTTCAGACGGTGAATATAGACATCTAGATTTTCTTTGTCTTGAAAAGTTTCCATGATTAGTATCTGGTGTTCTTTCACGTGTGTGTGTGTGTGTGTGTGTGTGTGTGTGTGTGTGTGTGTGTGTGTGTGTGTGTGTGTGTGTGTAATTTATATGTATGTATATGTATATTTATTATAAATATATGTATATTGTATCTATGCATATGTATATTCAACTATAAATGTATGTGCACCTATGTATTTATATATATATGTAAATGTATATAAATGTATATATGTTTATATACATATATACGTTCATTCACATTCGTGTCACCATCGATGTCATGTTTGACGAACTACATACCGACCAATGATCCTTCCTAGACACTTTGTTCCCTCCATGAGCTTCAAACAGCGAATGTGGCTGTCTAGGCTTATGTCACTTTTCCGTGTAAAATACCATTGTTACCAATTTATGTTTCCCCCTATAATATTTATTCTGTTGTGATAAGAATATGGCTCACATATTGTGTTTGCTGCATTTGATGATTCTTAACTGACATTGCACTCCATTGCATGTATCAATCAGTGACTCACCTTCGACAATCGGTGAAGTAATTCTCTTTGCAAGAAACTCGGAGACCCAAATCCCTTTGCAAGAAACAGTCGGCGACCCAAGTCCCTTTGCAAGAAACAGTCGGCGACCCAAGACCCTTTGCAAGAAACAGTCGGCGACCCAAGTCCCTTTGCAAGAAACAGTCGGCGACCCAAATCCCTTTGCAAGAAACATTCGGCGACCCAAGTCCCTTTGCAAGAAACAGTCGGCGACCCAAGTCCCTTTGCAAGAAACAGTCGGCGACCCAAGTCCCTTTGCAAGAAACAGTCGGCGACCCAAGACCCTTTGCAAGAAACAGTCGGCGACCCAAGTCCCTTTGCAAGAAACAGTCGGCGACCCAAGACCCTTTGCAAGAAACAGTCGGCGACCCAAGTCCCTTTGCAAGAAACAGTCGGCGACCCAAGTCCCTTTGCAAGAAACAGTCGACGACCCAAGTCCCTTTACAAGAAACAGTCGGCGACCCAAGTCCCTTTGCAAGAAACAGTCGGCGACCCAAGTCCCTTTGCAAGAAACAGTCGGCGACCCAAGTTCCATTGCAAGAATCAGTCGGCGACCTAACTCCCTTTGCAAGAAACAGTCGGCGACCCAAGTCCCTTTGCAAGAAACAGTCGGCGACCCAAGTCCCTTTGCAAGAAACAGTCGGCGACCCAAGTCCCTTTGCAAGAAACAGTCGGCGACCCAAGTCCCTTTGCAAGAAACAGTCGGCGACCCAAGTCCCTTTGCAAGAAACAGTCGGCGACCCAAGTCCCTTTGCAAGAAATCAGTCGGCGACCCAAGTCCCTATTGCAAGAATCAGTCGGCGACCCAAGTCCCTTTGCAAGAAACAGTCGGCGACCCAAGTCCCTTTGCAAGAAACAGTCGGCGACCCAAGACCCTTTGCAAGAAACAGTCGGCGACCCAAGACCCTTTGCAAGAAACAGTCGGCGACCCAAGACCCTTTGCAAGAAACAGTCGGCGACCCAAGTCCCTTTGCAAGAAACAGTCGGCGACCCAAGACCCTTTGCAAGAAACAGTCGGCGACCCAAGACCCTTTGCAAGAAACAGTCGGCGACCCAAGACCCTTTGCAAGAAACAGTCGGCGACCCAAGTCCCTTTGCAAGAATCAGTCGGCGACCCAAGTCCCTTTGCAAGAAACATTCGGCGACCCAAGTCCCTTTGCAAGAAACAGTCGGCGACCCAAGTCCCTTTGCAAGAACCAGTCGGTGACCCTACCTAACTACTACTCTGGGGAAGGATTATTTGTTAGCCACCCCAGTATAAAAGGCCAGTCAAGTACATATATGTGTGTGCTTTTATGTATATCTTCTTATATGTATGTTTGTGCGTTTGTGTATATATATGCTTATGTATACATATATTTATAAATGTATATGTATATAATTTACCAGCACCTTTAAATTGTCAACATATATTTTGAATTGTCTGTATACTGTGTTATGTAAATGAAA